AATAATGGATGTTACATACCACAACTTTTTTCGTACGAAGTTATATCTCAAAATACAACTTACCCATATCTAGAATTTTTTAAAGATTCATCCATTTCAAAAATAAATTAAACAAATTACACCAATTTCGAAAAAAAGTCATTGGATCCTTTTAACTGCAACATAATTTATGAGCAGTTGAAATTATAATTAATTAGTGTGCACAATACAACTACGTTGTATTAAAAAATAATAATTAAAAAAACAGGCACCTTTATTTACGAAACACAAATCAATGTAGTGAGCTTAACGTGATTTATATCTTCATCTTTAAGACGAAATCAAGTTTAATTTTTCCTTATTTCATAGTTAATTAAGTTACAACGAAATATAAACAACGTATACATGAGTTAAGACTACCCTTGATTAATCAGAATTTTATCTATATTATCTTAAAATCTTCTAATGAAAAGATAAACTGTCTTTTAAAAGAAATAATATATATATATATATATATATATATATATATATATATATATATTTTTTTTTAAAGACAGTTTATCTACTCATTCATTAGAAGATTTTAAGATAATATGGATAAACAACGTATACATGGACTCAAATTATCTTTGATAATCCCAATTTTATTTATATTATTTTAAAATCTTCTAATGAATGAGAAGATAAACTGTCTTTCAAAAGAAATAAAATATATATATATATATATATATATATATATATTTTTTTTGTTTATTTATTTTTTCTTTTTTAAAATAAATTTTATAATTTTTCTCTAATGTTTATAAGAATCCTATAACTGTAGGAAATATTATCTTTTTTTTTTAATTAGATGATATTTGACTCTAAGAATTTTCTTTTTCCATCTTCATTGAAGAGAAAAATGAAATAGATAAACAAAACATAAATTAAAAAAAAATAAAGCTAGAGAGAAATAAAAGGAAAAATAATTTGTAAAAATTTTAACTTTTTATTTATTTAAAATGGAAACATAAAAAAATGAAATAGAAGAAAAGAAAGAAAAAGAAATAGAAAAAAGGAAAAGAAATATAATTAGAGAGTATGAGCTAAATAAATGATGGGAAAGAGGAGAAAAGTGATTTCCCTCCACAAATAAAAAATGTAGACAGAATTAGATGTAGAACAATAATAATGGAAAAAACAGTGACAAACATGAAAGAAGAAAAAATGTTACATGGGAGGGAAAGGATAAAACATACAAGAGAAAAAAATATTGTCGCATAGACTAAATTTATTTTTTTCTTTTCAACGTGAGTATGGTTATATGATCTACATTTTTTTTTATTATTCATATTAGGTATCAACCCTAACATGATAAAAAAATTTATTAGGTTAGCTATGAGTTAGAACTAGATACAACATTGTATTTCTTTGTTATTAAATATTCTGACAGTAAGTACTCTCTTTTCATAATTTTAAGAACTCTCTTTTCATAATTTTCCCATAATAATTACACATGACAGAAATCAAGTTTGACTGTATTATTCACAATATACATGATCTCCTGCATAATTGTTGAATTTGATAGTTGTAGATCTTGTTCAGATACCCAACGGTACCCGAATTTTTTCTTCACTTCAACGGGGAAAGCTTTCTCATCCATTTTCCTGTCTTTAATCATGATATCACCAAAATCTTTCATGTCTGCATGTTAGTTTTCAATTTCAAGACCAAGGAAATCTTGCTTACTGAAATAGAATAGTCATTACAATTTTATTCGTCACAAAAACATTAACCAAAATAACACTTTTTTAAAAGATAATGAATACATGCATTACCATGACTAACTACTAGATTTTCTCAAAATCCACCATTTTTTCTCTGAACTTTAAAACACAGTATCAAAAACTCAACAAAACTCTCTCCCATCAATGAAGTAGATAGTACTGTCAATTCAGTATAATATTTAAACGCTTCATCAGATTCTATGTCTTGTATATTAACAAACGCTTCATCACTGGTCACATGAGGCTGGTTTGTATGATTGAAAGTCAGTCATTCGATGCGGTGTGCTTGTTCTCATGCATGAGGCTTAAACATGTTTACGCAGTTTTTTCTCATCATATACATGTGAAATATGATAAAACTCTACTATTCTCATTTTCATTTCTTATTCAACAACAATCCAGACAAAAGTAGCTGTACTGACATTGATACAAAATAACAAGCATAATTTATACATTTTTTTAGAAGATACTAAACAAAGTTTCAAGCTTGTCATGGTTCAGCAACTGATTTGTTTCAAAGGCTCTCTTTGACCAATTTTGAGGTATTCAAAACTAAACTTGGAAGTTTATGAAAAGAAACAACACATTAGTTAGTAATATATTCGAGTAAACTATTATTCCATATAAGAATATAAAGAAAGTATTTGAACCCACCTGTCAACATCTTATGCACCTAAGTAAGTCCCACAGGACTCTGACAAGCAAATTGAATTCAGAACATAAAAACTCAACGCTTACATCTTTTAAGTATACCTTTCTCGGCCTTTTGGCTAAGATCAAGTGTAGTATCTGTTCTTATCAGTTTAATATCTGATATGTGGGCCATTGGTTCACATGATATTAAATTAATTTTTTAGGGAAGGAATCCATCACAATTGCTTGCTATTGGGATTCCAGCATCACTCTTGTGTTGCACTATTACAAGAGATTGGTGCATGCTATCAAATCAGTTTAATTATTCATCTTTTACATTATTATTATTATTATTATTATTCATTTTTCACGTTACTATTTCATTTTATCAAAACATTTTAATTACTTATGGCCAAGAGCACTCATTCTTAATCTTAAATTTGCTATCTTTAAATTTATAACTTCATATACACCTCTTTCAATCATTATAATTTATAACTTCATTATACACCTCTTTCAATCATTATAATTTATAACTTCATATACACCTCTTTCAATCATTATTACACGATTTTCTCCTATCAATCATTATTGCATGATTTTCTCCTCCATCATTATTACATGATTTTCTCCTTTCAATCATTATTGCATGATTTTCTCCTCCAGTCAAAATTCTAAGCTTAGAAAATACAAAACAGAGCAGGGCAACCCACTGTACGACTTGCTTTGGAAAAGGTAATTATGTATCAATCACAGAAAAAAAAAAAAAAAAGTACAATTGCAACTTTAGACATTGAAGAAGATTTTTTAATAAGCAAATTTGGCGTGTCAAACAGTAGTTAAAAAAAAAAAAGTACAATTGCAACTCCAGACATCCATCGAAGGAGAATTTTTAAGGAGCAAATTTGGCTCAAGCCAAAGTCGCTAAAGACTATGATAGTGATAGTACCAAAACGGATTCAACCGTGGATGAAGTAAAATTCCTTGGAAATGATAGGTATCCAATGAAGAGAGCCTTATTGAACTTTATCTCTCAGTGTCTCAATCAATATTAATGTATTTGTTTCATTCATGAACAAACAGGATTTACAGTCCCTGATGATCTAGATACCGTGTATTTTTTCATGTTTTCTCTAGTATATTATGTTCTCATATGAAAACAGAAACTAGAAGTAAATATTTTAGAGTCAAGAGGAGGTCCAATCTGAATCTGACACAGCAGGAAAGCAAAGTCCTTTTCGTAGTGAAATTCTAGCGTACTTCAATAGCATGAGAGAAGTTTGATAATGAGCAACAGTAGAGTAATCAAGAGGATGACTTAGCTTACCAACAGCATAGGATATATCTGGCCTAGTATTGGTTAGGCAAATCATCCTTCTAAGTAAACCTTCTATGTTTTGTAACATCTAACGTCTGTCCAGAATCTTCTTGTAGATGATGAATATGATCCATGAATGTAGAACCCAGTTGTGTAGCTAGTAATGTCGTGTCTTGAAATAAATTCAAAACATATTGAGAGGAGTTTACTTAAGCTCTGAGTTATGATTTCAGGAGAAAGACAGAGCTGTAACCCTGAATTCTTGGAGCAGCTGACACAACTGATAAAGTCTCACATTTGTCAGTACTCTGACAAGAATCTGAAGCTCTGATAGTAATTAATAAAATGAAAATGTAGTGTTCTGTATCGTGGTGTTGTATTCTTCTTGTGGTTTCTTAACTTATGGAAGTTGTATCTTACACCAGTTGTGAAATGATAATTCTCACTAATGTTTTTGACATTCATTGCTGTCTTTTATACTTATTATTCAGTATTGCATTCCATTCTGATTCTAAAGTGTTTGGTAACTTTTTATATCAATCAATATACTAAACCTGCCGACAAGGCTCAATGCACAAATTCAACTACAGTTTGGTAATACCCAAAACTAGCCAATCCAAGAGAAATAAAGTTCACTACTGAATACTTGCAATGTTTACCAAATGATTAACCAATTTCTTCGCATGCACAAATAAAAAAATTTGAGCCATGATATCATTTCATTTTCAGGTCCGAACAACTTGCATTCATTCAATTGTAAGATGTTATACTTTTGTAAAAGAAAAATGGTTAGGCTACACACATAAAGCATAGCTAGAACACAAGTTAAAATATTGTGATAGTTGTTGTAAGAGAACTGGTACACTATAGGATTATGTGAAGTAAAAGCCTTACTTCTAGGGATTAACTTACGCACTGAAAAATTCATCATATTCTGAAATGGAAATAAAAAGATATTTTGTAAATAATAAAAAGCTGCATAGAAAAATCACATATATTATATTTGAAGTCAAGCAAAACTGTCAAACACAGTTTAATAGGGCTCACTTCATACCAGAGCATAAAGTAGAAATTAAGGTCCATTTTCTTTTCTCCTAATTAATCCAATTTTTTCTATATTTCATCCACGCAAAAGTAGAGAAAGGCATGAACTCTTTGAAATTGTTAGTGCTAAAATGCAATACTTGTCTTACTTGTGTCCCATATTCAAAAGAGAAAAAAACAACAGTGTATTTATAACTATACTCACAGTGGTGGTGGATTGCTGAGTTGAGTCACTTCAGCTTGTGACCCAAGTGGGAGCCCTAATTTGATGGAACAGCACTGTGCCTTCCTAGGCTGGGTTTGTGACTTGTGAGGCTGGTTTCATAGAGCAGCGACCACCTCCCTCTCCCAACGGTGGAGGGATTGCAAGCTACTTCTTCCACAACCCCAAATGGTCGGGTGAGCCTAGCCTGCCTGCCTGGACCGTCAGTTTTTTTAAAGTAAAAAAACAAATGTACTGATATTTATATTCGAATTTTACTTTTGACAATATTTGAAAAGTGAAAAGTATAATTTTGATTCAATATTTAAATGATATAGGAATTTACTATTTACATTTTATTTATTTAAATATCTAATAAATAAAAAAGAATTGAAATATTTTATATCTAGACCTCAATTTTTTGCACTGATATATACATATATATATATATATATATATATATATATATATATTTGTATTTTACTTTGGACAATGTTTGAAAAGTAAAAAGTATGTTCTTGATTTAAATTTTTAAATGACATAGTAATTTATATTTTATTTATATTAATATCTAATAAATAAAAAAGAATTGAAATATCGTATTGTTTATGTGCAGCATAACTTCTATCTATTGGTTTTTGCACTTGCATGTCCCACATACAGGCCTCAATCTTAAAATTATCATTAGTCAATGTGTACAGTACACCTTTATTTAAGAAACACAAACCTTGTTACAAGGAAATCAGGTCTGATTCTCCACTTATTTATCTGTTAATTAGGCTATAACGAAGTAAAACATCATATATAGCCCAAGTCTACCCTTCATTAATCCTAAATCTAGGGATAAATTCTATAAAATCTTTTAGCATGAGAAAATGAGTTCCTACAATCATAATAGCACACGAGTAAACATGAAAAATTTACATCTTATCTCCATACAGTTCTTACCGGCATTTTATCTACAGCACTCAGGGAGAAATTTTACTTCTGACACCTCAACCAATACACACAAAATATAGTCCACACTCCCAATACCAACTTCATTACTCTTTGGTATCTCCTAAAAGCGAAAGTAATGATTATACGTTTATATATCTTTAACATGCCTCTTATGTCTCTTATGTGATGCCCTTTTCAGATTAAGCATGAATAATATGGCCAAACTTATCTTACACTGAAATTTAATTTATATTCGGAAGAATGTGCCCATCGGACAGCTAGGATTGAAGTCATGAATACTTTGTCAAGGTATTTATAGGATAGAAGGGGAAGTAGTGTAAATCACAAAGGAATTCAGGTACAAAAGTGACTCAAACTGAAATCTGAAAAGAACTACCAATTCATCCGCATAACTGTTGAAAACTCTACTCTCATTCTGAAATTCATCTAAACATATCTTCACAATCAATTCATCTTGAATTTTTTGCTCCTTCAGATAACTATTCTTTTGCACATGTAAAACCTCTTCAAATCAACTTGAATTCTATCTCGATCCAATTTTTAAAAATTATAATCTTCATCTGTACTTCCCTCATACTATTCTTAATATCAAAAGCTTCACGGCTTTATGAAATCCATAGATTTCTCCAGACGCAAGTTAGTGCTTCTAGTCCACTGAGAAATGTCACAATTATCAGGATAATGTAACTAAACTACATTTGTTCTTTGGAACATTAAAGCAGAACAATGCAGTTTAATTACATTAATCATGATAATTAAGAAATTTTTCACCAAATGTAGAATACTAACTTATGTCTGAACTTTCTTTTGTTTCAAGGTGCATATGCATACCTGGAGGCTTTTCGGCAAAATAATAACTCGAGAATGCTTTAATTTTTGTGGCACTCCTAGCGACTTCAGATTTAAGCATATGCAGCATTTTGTCCTTTTCTTTTCTTATACACGTCGCTTGTCACTCCATTGTCTTGGAGTTCCATGAAGGATAAAACAAGTTCAGGAGCTTCTTGCATGAGTCTCTCAAACACATCGTGGTTAGTTAGGTAGGCCCCAACAGTGTTCAGACCAAAATCATCACACAATGAATATCACTGATGCTGTTCAGTAAGTCTTGCCTCATTTTAGGTGCGTCATAAAAATCCTCAAATCCCACATCAGGTAAATCGGCATTAGAACCAATATCAGAGAATCCAAGTTCGGTAACTATCTGGTTAAGACAATTCCACCTTTGCTAAATACAAGGATGAATGTCTTGGGCTCAGAGAAAGAACATGAAGAAGTGCAGCCAGACTTTGAATCCACTTGTATTCATAAAATGACTTTTTTTGCCTGCATTACAGGAAATTTAAAACATGGAGAGCATTAAGTGGAAGACATAAACAGTGACTGTTTCTAGTTTAACTATTACCAACACATAAGTGATATCTCCAGTCATGTAGCATATTGGTGTCATGCTTTTTATATAGGAAACTTGATTAGGATATGTAATACACTTGCTAAACATTTTGGTTGGCCTCATATGGTAGTAAGGTTAAATGATGAGAATAACTACTACGGTCAAGATGGAAATTTTAGTTGCAAGCAGTTGGCATGCCTGCCTGGCATTTAAGATAAGAAAATATCATATTTCTTCAAGGCAATTAGATAAGAGCGACACCGTTGATGCAGATGTGGGGAAACCAATAAGATGTTATGACTTTGGCTCTCCGCATTGATTCAAGGACAGTATGAAGTCCTTATAGACAGCAAAATAAAAATGGAAGGCTTAATAACCCAAGCATTGATGGAAGAACCAAATTTGGACACAACAATTTCAGACCGTTTCTGTAAATTTGATAGCCTTTCAATCACGGGGTTACTAGTCCCTTCAAATCTGTCACCACAGAAAGTAACTCATATACATGCTCGAAAATATCAATGAGACAGGGAATTCTGAATTTGTTCTTGCAACCACGTAAAATGTTCTATATTACATTTTCCAGAATAGTGTAAAACTTCATATATAAATCTGTCAGTTCACAAAATTTCAGGTGATAACCAAAAGATGCCTGAAAAAAATGTTTACCATTTATTACATTCAATGAGTAAAAAAAAAAAAATGATTAACTGATTTCTACTCATGCACACATAAAAAGCATTATTATACCATAATAGGCTTCCATCCTCAGTAAGTCCATTGCTAAAGGAAACTCAAATAAGTTGCATTCATTACATTGCATGATTTTCTACTGTTGTAAAAAACAATGTTAAGCTACATAATGAAGTTAAATCATGAATAAGACTGATATATAATAAGCAACTCAATTGTTGTCTCTATAAGAAATGTAGTTCCAGTTTAAGGAGTTAACTTACACACAGTGTTTTGGATTCTGGAGAAAGGTAGAGTGATGCACCAACCCTATGGAATGTCCTGCTGTCAGGGTGAAGTGGGACTCTCAAAAGTCCACTGCAACCTTCCATTTATAAGTCTACATAATATTTGGTATCATGTTTGATGTCAAACAACTTGCAATCATTCCATTGCATGATTTTCTGTTTTTGTCAAAAGAAAAAATATATTACCAAAACTTAAAAACAAAAAGACTATGGAAGTTATAATACCAAAATGGAGCCAATTGTGGATGAAGTAAAAGTTGTACTGTTCCTTGAAAGTGATAGGCATCAAATAAAGAGAGCCTGATAAAACTTTATCTCACAATGTGAAAATAAATTTTAGCGTGCTTGCATATTTCATAAAAAACAAGATTAGCAGCTAAGTACTTAGCTGACTCCCAAAACAGTTCGAATGGAAATGGTTTATATGTTTTTTTGTCCCCATTGAGGAGTAGCTGCAGAGAGAATAAGTTTTGTAACCCTTGTATTGCACTTCAACAAGAGCTTGGTGCATCCCACTAACAAAGTTTAAATATGTAGATTTATACTTATTTGCTTACATTATTTTATTTAATTCAATAAGAAAGGTTTATATTTATAAGTGGATTCATCGTTATTTGCTTACACTATTTATTAACATAAAAATTATTTAAGTTTGTAAGACTGTGTTACCAAATTTATATGGGGTACACCAGTCTCCCAAAAAAGTTCAAACAACTTGCATTCATTCCATTGCATGATTTTCTATTTCTGTTAAAAGAAATCTAAACTGCATATGTACTAAAGCTAAAACACAAAAAACAGTACAAAAATGGATCATATTGCGGATGAAGTACTAAAACACAAAAAAACAGTACAAAAATGGATCAGATTGTGGATGAAGTAAAAGTTCTCTTCCAAAACAGATGTAATAAAAAACAGTACAATGGATGAAGTAAAAGTACTTTTCCGAAACAGTTATAATAAAAAACAGTAGAAAAATGGATCAGATTGTGGATGAAGTAAAAGTACTGTTCCAAACTAAACGCTTGTATTATTCAAAACATACATTCCTCGACTTTAGTATATATTCTTATCAATTTAATGGCCAATTGGTTGGCATGATATTAAATCAATATTTTAGGGGAGAGGGTTCATCATAATAACTTGTGATTGGGGCTTTCAAGCATCGCCTTTGCCTTGCACCACTGTTAGGGCCTGGTGCATCCCATCTAAATCAGTTCAATCTTTTGTAATAAAATGAAACAATATTTTTCTGTAGTGTAGAGTTGTATTTGTTTTGCTTGTTCTTTTAACTTTGCTATTAGAGGTTTAGCTTGTTATTTATTATAAATTTTTTCCTGCAATTGTTGGGAAATGATAAATTTGATTCCAAAGTGTTCGATACCTTATTACATCAATCAATATAGTAAACATTCGGATAAGTTTCAATTTATAAATTCAACTACGGATTGATAATACCAAAAACTAGCTAATCCATAAGAAGTAGATGTTCACCACTGAACACGAATCTTTTGTAGCAAATGATTAAGCGATTTCTTCACATGCACAAATAAAAAAGTTTAAGCCCTGATATCATTTCATTTTCAGGAAGTCCAAACAATTGCATTCATTCAATCGTACGATGTTCTACTTTTGTAATAGCCTCACTTCTCTGTGTTTTTGCATCCACATGTAGAAATACAAGCATCTAATTTACTTTTAAAAGGGATTTACTTACACAGAAAAATTCATCATATTCTGAAATGACAATAAAAAAATATTTATCACTTGTATTATATTTTAAGTCAAGCAAAACTGTCCAACACAGAGTTTAATAGGCTCACTCCTCTGTGTTTTTGCATCCATATGTACAAACACAAGCTTCTATCTAGTTCATGCCAGAGCATAAAATAGAAATTAAAGTCCATTTTCTTTTCTCCTAATTAATCCAGTTTTTTTCTATATTTCATCCACGCAAAAGTAGAGAAAGGCACGATCTCTTTGAAATTGTTAGTGCTAATGTGTCCCATATTCAAAATAGAAAAAAACAACAATGTGTCTATAACCATACTCACAGTGGTGGTAGATCGCTGAGCTGAGTTACTTCAGCTTGTGACCCAAGTGGGAGCCCTAATTTGATGGAACAGCACTGTGGCCTTCCTAGGCTGGGTTTGTGGTTGGAACACGTTAGCTTGTCCACTCCAAGTTGAGAGTTGAGTCAGGAGACGTTAGTGAAGACTTAGGTCTCTTGTCTCTTAGAGTGGAGGGCACAGCGTGAGGCTGGTTTCACAGAGAGCGACCACCTCCCTCTCCCAACGGTGGAGGGATTGCAGGCCACTTCTTCCGCAACCCCAAATGGTCGGGTGAGCCTAGCCTGCCTGGACCGTCACTCTTTTTTCTTAAGGAAAAAAAGAACTGTACTCGTATTTATATTTGAATTTTACTTTTTACAGTATTTGAAAAGTGTCCAATTTTTAAATGAAATAGGAATTTCTAAATTCCATTTTTTATACTAATGTATAATAAATAATAAAATATTATTGTTTATTGATGTTTGGATTTAGTGTCTTATTTATAGACTCTAGTCTCCTTAACATAAATTATTAACAATTAAAGTTATAATTATGTATATAATATAACAATAATTTATAAAATAAAATTTGGAAAAATAATGTATATTTATTTACTAAATCCAAATAAATGAATTGATTTTTATTATAATTTAAATCTACCTTTTTTTTTATAGAAGAAATAAGATTTAATCTCCTTATTTCTTTCTTAGTTAAGCTAAAGATAAAAGAAAACAATAAGGAAACTCAAATCTTTTAAAGAATGAAAAAATGAGTTGTTTTTAAAAAAAAACATAGATTAAGAGAAGTTGGAATTATAATTAGTATAAAAAAATTTGAAAAAAATAACGCATTTTTACTTATGAAACACAAATTAATGAGTTGAGTTTAGTGTGATTTAAATCTTCTTTTTTCTAATGAAAAAATCAGGTTTATTTGACCCTATTAGTTAATTTTTTATGAAAGAAAACAACATATAAATAGGGCAAGACTATTTTTAATTAATCCTAAATCTACACATATTCTCTTCAAATATTGTATAGAATAAGAAAGTGAGTTGTCTTTAAAATAATATATATATATATATATATATATATATATTAGTTAATTGCTTTCTTAAAATAAATTTTAAAATTATTCTCTATTATTATTATTATTATTATTAATATGTAAGTAATTAAATGATGTAATATATGGTCTCAACATGTCTAACAATTACATGTCACATTTGATCTATATAGCCAAAAGAGATAGTTTGTATGACTTATTAAACTTTTTTTATTACACCATTAAATATTATTAACTTTTTTAGTAGAGGTAGTATGCATGACTTATTAAACCTTTTTTTATTACATCATCAAATATCATTAACTTTTTTATTATAATTTCTCAAACTACTTATTGTAAAAATACTTCCAAACGATTAATAAATATTGAGATTTTATTTATGAGTTGTGTTGTTACACCACGTGCACTCATTTGTTTTGCAATCATTAAATATCAGTAAATTGATTAAATTATGGGATAATTTGACCTTTGCCAATATATTCCTCAAGATCTAACGAATCTAGATCAAATTCATGATGAAGATATGAGAGAAATAACCGATAGATATTAACCAGATTATCATTGTAACTAGATTGTAATATGGAACAATCATCATAACCACTAAGTCGAAGGAATCGAATTTTAGAGAAACAATCAATTAAGCAATATATGTAGTATTATTTACAACATAATATGTGATATATTTGTCCGGAAGAATCAACCGATACACATGATGAAGTAAGTGTAGCATATTAAATATATAGTTATATTTTTATTAATACTAATTTTACGTGTATTTTGTTTTTTTAGTATAATGCACCACAACAACATCAAACATAATAATACGACGAACAACCTTTTTAACAATTCACATCACAATCCACACATCCACATGTTGAGTTATTTACTTTTCAATCCTCGTCACTCCACGGATATATGTGTCAACTTGTCAATTTTAGTTAAGACAAGTCGCTTACACATAATGTGTTTTCATCATCATCAAATATATTTGTCACCACCTTAATGACATCACCATCATTATATAAGCACACCCCTTGCATGGATTGTTATTGTCAACTTTATATACACAAACATTACATAATGATGAAGATGAAGATAATAATAATAATAATAAAAAAAAAATAGACGTTCCATCACCAAAACAAGTTCCTATCAAAGAGAAAGACTAAGAGGTAATATTAGAAGACCATATTATGACACAAGTTCACATAATTAATTTTTAAATGTATATTTTCTACATTTTTAAGATTTTAATGTATGTGTACTTTTTTTAATGTATATTTAACTTCTGTTTATTTAACATATTAATATTTTCTTTTTAATAATTTAATATATTTAAAAATTATTTAACATTACTTGACTTACAAACATATTAATCATTTATTTTATTAATTTTATAAATGTTCGGGTAAGTCTCACATCGCTTAAGAGTCGAGGTCAAGGGTAGTTTATATACACCTTCATTTCTTAATTCACTAAGGTGCTTATTAAGAACAAAATTGTGACGAACAAAAACTTCAAAGCAGATAATACCTCAAATTATGAAATTGTATCTCAAAATACAACTTACCCAAATTGAAAATTTTTAAAAAATTTACCCATTTCATAAATAACTCAATCCTTCTTGAAGTGACCTTTTTTTATTACAGAAGTAGCACTTTTTTTCCTTATGGATTTTACCTTATAAAAGTAACACTTCTTATCCTTATGGATTTTACCTTCTTTGACTTTTAATTAGGTCTAGCCCTTATCCTTTCTACCTAACTTACTCTTACTACCACTAGCTCCATCATGAGTCATGAGATGAACAAAATTGTTACGAAAGTAATACTTCTTCTCTTTATGGATTTTACCTTCATTGACCTTAAATTGGGTCTTGCCCTTATCCTTTCTACCTAACTTACTCTTACTGCCACTAGCTCCATCATGAGTCATGAGATGAACAAAATCGTTACGAAAGTAACACTTCTTATCCTTATGGATTTTATCTTCATTGACCTTCAATTGGATCTTGCCCTTATCTTTTTACCTGACCTACTCTTATTGTCACTAGCTCCCATTATGAGTCATTAGATGAACAAAATCGTCATTCATTTTCTTTAAAATTCTTTCCTCCTCAACTAACATGGTCTTAACTTCCTAAAAGTTTCATTTTTCTTTAAGGGTGAAACTGACCAAATTCTACAAAAAGGGAGTTCAAAATGAACTGCAATAAGAAGGACTCACTCACTTCCATTTCCATAGACTTCCACCTTGTTGCTAGATTACACATTTCAATCACATGATCATAAACTGATTAGAACAATCAAACCTTTTTTTATTAATAGCAAGTTGTGAAAATTTTCTCATTATATTATTTAATGTAATATCTTAACTTACTCTTCCAACTACAATAAAGAATTCTTATATAAATAAATATTTATACTATTTTAATTGGTTTAGATGAAGATAAGACAAGGAAGATGTTCAATAAAAATATTATATAAAGCTTTCTATACTGATTGCACATAAAATCTCATGCGAGTAAATAAAAGTTATTAATTTTTTCATTATTTAAATATCACACTTTTATAACATTGGTAAAACTAACAATAATTTTAAAATAACCCATATATATTAAAATACTAATTTTGCATGTATATTGGTTTATTGAGTATGATATACCACAATAACATCAAACACAATAACATGACCTACAAAATTTTTAACAATTCACATCACAATCCACATATCCACATGTTGGGTTATTTACTCTTCAATCATCTTCACTCTAAGGATGTATGGGTCAACTTCATAATATATCAAGTCAATTTAAGTTTGGACAAGTCCCTTACAAATATTGTGTTTCGAATTTCATCAAATATGTTTATCACCACTTCAATGACATCACCATCAGTATATAACCATACACGTTGCCTGGATTGTTATTGTCAACTTTATATGCACAAATATCATATAATTAAGGATGACAATTAAACTCATACCCGTGGGGACCGACCCGTTCCTACCCCGAGTTTGACTGGGAAAACCGAAGTTGATCGGGACAGGACGGGACGAGGATGGGTAATGCAATCCCTACTCCAACCCCGTCCGCGTCCTAATTTTATATTTAAATTTTAAAATATTAATATTTTAAAAGTATTTTTTTATTACATATAAGGTCAGTTTTTATATTTTACCATTTTTTACTTTTCTTTTATCCACTTTTAATGTTTTTGTCTTTTTTAATCATTTATATAAATTAGTTTATTACATTATTCTTTATTTCTTACCTTTCAGTTTTTCACATTTTTTAATCTCTCCAATTAATTTTTTTTTCAATTTGAGGAACAAAAAGTTAATTTTTTTATGTTTTTTTAACTATTTTACATAAATCTTAGTAGTAACTAATATTATTTTATTTATAATTTATATTTATTAGGTTTTATTATGTCATATTTTTTGGATGTTATTATTCTTATTTATCATATATCAAATTTTATCATAATAAAATAATTGTATTTTAAAGTATTAAAAAGATTGATAATTTAAATTTTTATTACTTCAAACTAATTAAATAAGAATTAATTTATTAAATATTTCCTTATAAACTATATATTTCATATTTTTAAATGACAACTTAAAAATGAATTAACTTATATATGTAATCAAATGTTTGAATATATAATAATAATAATAATAATAATAATAATAATAATAATAATAATAATAATAATAATAAGTTTATAAGTATTCAAATATTTGAATACAATGTTATAATAATAATAATAATAATATTAATAATGTTATAAATATTATATATATAAATAAAAAATGATTAAATATTTCTTTTACATGCATATTTGAATATAAATATAATAAATTAAAAAATATATTTAATTATTAATTTATAAATTGTAAAATTATAAATATTTATTTATATATAAAAAATACATAGTAAAATTAATTTATTATAAATATAATTATCTTTTTAAAAATAATTTAAATTGGGGATGGGGCGAAGACGGGAAAACCGGAAACCTAGCGAGGAAGAGGATGAAGACTTAATTTTTAACCTCGGCGGGGATCAGGCGTGAGGACGGGACAATTACAAAAGTTGGGGGCAGGGATAAGGAAGACAAAACCCGTCCCCGCCATGCCTACATATAATGATGAAGATGAAGATAATAATAATAAAAAAATAGACATTTCATCGCCAAAACAAGTACCATCGAAGAGAAAGACCAAAAGATAATATTAGAAGACCACATTGTGAAACAAGTTCTCATCATTAATTTTTAAATGTATTTTTCTACATTTTTAAGATTTTAATTTTATAATGTTCTTATACGTTCAAAAGTCTCACTTTGATTAAGAGTCGAGGTCAAAGATAGTTTATATACACCTTCCTTTCTTAACCCACCACCGAGACGCCTATTAAAGACAAAATTGTGACGAACGAGAGTTTCAAAGCAAACAATACTTTGGACATGAAAATTGATCCTAATGATGTTATCATAGCAGACTACTACTTTTTCATTATGATGTTGTATTATACAACTTATCCATATCCAATTTTTTTTTTTTAAATTTACCTTATCCTTATGGATTTTACCTTCATTAATCTTCAATTGGGTCTTGCCCTTATCCTTTCTACCTGACTTCGTCTTACTATCACTAGCTCCATCACAGTCACAAGATGAGCAGAGTGGTCCTTCATTTTCTTTAAAATCCTTTCTTCTTGAACTAACATGGTCTTAACTTCCTAAAAGTTCTATTTTTCTTTAAGGGTGTTCTAATTTACCTGGAATTTGCCAAATTCTGCAAGAAGGGAGTTCAAAATGAACTACAATAAGAAAGACTCACTCACTTTTATTTCCATAGATTTCAATCTTGCTAGCAGATTAGACATTTCAGTTACATGATTATTAATTGATTGAGGCGAATCAAATCTTTTGTTTATAAGCTCACTTGTAAGATTCCCCGTAATCGACTTGTCAGTAATGTTAGATTACGAGAAATCTTTAACTAAATTCATGAAATTCTTAGCATTATTAGTTTTAGGCATAGATGACTTAAAATTTTCAGCAATAGGGAATCTCATCAAGTTCAATGCTAATTTATTATATCACTTTCAAGCATCATTAAGAGACCTTTTAGCTTTTGTGTTGGTCTCCATAATTGGTGGGGGGGGGGTTTCATCCATTATCAATACAATGTTTAAATTCATAACGCCAGTTAAAAACTGGATCATTTTAAACCAATAAACATAATTTAAACCATTGAACTTGATTAAATAATTGTTAACAAAATTATGTTAGATATAGTTGCACATTTACACAAACTCATCCATCAACATTCTGAAATATATATAAACTTTAATCATATATCTCCTTTACTTTAGTAAAATAAATACACTCAATTTTCATAACATACACTTTAATGACCAATAAAATATATCATTATTGACATTATTGACGTCTTAATATATATTGACTTATTTTTAATGTGTGTTTAACTTATTTTTACTTAACATAATAATATTTTTTTAATAATTTAATATTTTTAAAAATTATTTAATATTATTGACGTCTTAATACCTATTAATAATTTATTTTATTAATTTTATAAACATTAAAATAAAACTTTTAATAATTAAAAATAATAAACTAACCTAACTTACATATATGAACTAAAGTCATCAATCAAAGAACAACTAAAAAAATAACTCTACTAAAGTTATGAATTAGAGGAAAATGTCACAAAAACATCAGAAAAAAATGTTGATATGAAGAAGTCGTATATGTACGTATGACTTTTTTGTGATAAAACAAAAAAGCAAAATTGTGTTTTAAACCACAACGTTTTTATTACGAAGTTATACCCATATCTAAATTTTTTTAAAATTCATCCATTACAAAAATAATTAAAACAAATTACACCAAATTTGAAAAAAAGGTCCTTCTATCCTTTCAACTGCAACATAATTGATGAGCAGTTATAATTAGTTAGTGTGCACCATACAACTACGTTTTATTAAAAAAATAATAATTGAAAAAACAAGAAACCTTTACTTACGAAACACAAACTAATGGGTTAAGTTTAACATGATTTCTATCCTCAACTTTAAGACGAAATCAAGTTTAATTTTTTCTTATTTTATAATTAATTAAGTTAGAACCAAACAAAAACAACGGCTAAAGCAATCTTTATTAATCCAAATTCTATCTATAATATATATATATATATATATATATATATATATATATTATTTATTTATTTATTTTGTTGCTTTCTTATAATAAATTTTATAATTTTTCTCTAATATTTTTAAGAATCCTATAACCGTAGGAAATATTATCTTTTTTTTTTAATTAGATGATATTTGACTCCAAGAATTTTCTTTTTCCATCAATTCATAAAGGAGAAAAATGAAATAGATAAACAAAACATAATTTTTTTTAAATTAAAGCTAGAGAGGAAAAAAGGAAAAATAAATTGTACAAATTTTAACTTTTTATTTATTTAAAAATGGAAACATAAAAAAATGAAATAGAAGAAAAGGAAACAAAACCAGAAGAAAAGAAAGAAAAAGAAATAGAAAAAAAAGGAAAAGAAATATAATTAGAGAGTATGAGCTAAATAGAAAAGTGATTTCCCTCCCCAAATAAAAATTGTAGACAGAATGAGATGTAGAACTAGACAATAATAATGGAAAAAACAGTGACAAACATGAAAGAAGAAAAAATGTTACATGGGAGGGAAAGGATAAAACATACAACGTGAGTATGGTTATATGATCTACATTTTTTTTATTATTATTCATATTAGGTATCAACCCTAAAATAATAAAAAAGTTATTAGGTTAGCTATGAGTTAGAACTAGATACAACATTGTATTTCTTTGTTATTAAATATTCTGACAGTAAGAACTCTCTTTTCATAATTTTCCCATAATAATTACAAATTACAGAAATCAAGTTTGACTGTATTACTCACAATATACATGATCTCCCTGCATAATTGTTGAATTTTATAGTTGTAGATCGTGTTCAGATACCCAACGGTACCCGAATTTCTTCTTCACTTAAACGGGGAAAGCTTTCTCGTCCATTTTCCTGTCTTTCATCATGATATCACCAAAATATTTCATGTCTGCATGTTAGTTTTCAATTTCATGACCAAGGAAATCTTGCTTACTGAAATAGAATAGTCATTACAATTTTATTCCTCACAAAAACATTAACCAAAATAACACTTTTTTAAAAGATAATGAATACATGCATTACCATGACTAACGACTAGATTTTCACAAAATCCACCATTTTTCTCTAAACTTTAAAACACAAAGTATAAAAAACTCAACAAAACTCTCTCCCATCAATGAAGTTGATAGTACTGTCAATTCAGTACAATAATTAAACGCTTCATCAGATTCTATGTCTTGTATATTAACAAACGCTTCATCACTGGTCACATGAGGCTGGTTTGTATGATTGAAAGTCAGTCATTCGATGCGGTGTGCTTGTTCTCATGCGTGAGGCTTAAACATGTTTACGCAGTTCTTTCTCATCATATACATGTGAAATATGATAAAACTCTACTATTCTCATTTTCATTTCTTATTCAACAACAATCCAGATAAAAGTAGCTGCACTGACATTGATACAAAATAACAAGCATAATTTATACATTTTTTTTAGAAGATACTAAATAAAGTTTGAAGCTTTTCATAAGATACTAAATAAAGTTTGAAGCTTATCATGTTTCAGCGACTGATTTGTTTCAAAGGCTCTCTTTTACCAATTTTGAGGTATTCAAAACAAAACTTCGAAGTTTATGAAAAGAAACAACACATAATATATTCGAGTAAACTATTATTCCATATAAGAATATAAAGAAAGTATCTGAACCTACCTGTCAACATCTTATGCACCTAAGTAAGTCCCACATTTGTCAGGACTCTGACAAGCAAATTGAATTCAGAACATAAAAACTCAACGCTTACTCCCTTTTAAGTATACCTTTCTCGGCTTTTTGGCTAAGATTAAGTGTAGTATCTGTTCTTATCAGTTTAATATGTGATATGTGGGCCATTGGTTCACACGGTATTAAATTAATATTTTAGGGAGGGAACCATCACAAGAGATTGGTGCATCCTATCAAATCAGTTTAATTATTCATAACATTAATAAAAGTTTAATTTTATCTTTTCTATTACTAAGTAGTAATTCATCCTACCAATTCATTACTACTATTTACCAAATCTTGCTTCCTATAGCACAATGTTGATTAACAATCAATAACATTAAAAAAAGTTTAATTTCATCTTTTCTATTACTAATTAATAATTCATCCTACCAATTCATTACTACTATTTACCTTGCTTCCTATAGCACAATGTTAAATCAATAACATTAAAAAAAGTTTAATTTCATCTTTTCTAAATTTTATCTTTTCTATTACTAATTAGTAATTCATCCTACCAATTCATTACTACTATTTACCAAATCTTGCTTCCTATAGCACAATGTCGCTAAAGACTATGATAGTTATAGTACCAAAACGGATCCAACTGTGGATGAAGTAAAATTCCTTGGAAATGATAGCTATCCAATGAAGAGAACCTTATTGAACTTTATCTCTCACTGTCTCAATCAATATTAATGTATTTGTTTCATTCATAAACAAACAGGATTTACAGTCTCTGATGATCTAGATAGATACCGTAGATTGTTTCATGTTTTTTCTAGGATATTATGTTCTCATATGAAAACAGAAACTGGAAGTAAATATTTTAGAGTCAACACAGGAGCTCCAAACTGAATCTGACACAGCAAGAAAGAAAAATCCTCTTCGTTGTGAAATTCTAGCGTACTTCTTGTTGAAGTTTGATAATGAGTAATCAAAAGGATGACTTAGCTTACCAACAGCATAGGATATATCTGACCTAGTATTGGTTAGACAAATCATCCTTCTAAGTAAACCTTCTATGTTTTGTAACATCTAACGTCTGTCCAGAATCTTTTTGTAGAGGATGAATATGATCCATGAATGTAGAACCTGGTTATGAAGCTGGTAATGCCGTGTCTAGAAGTAAATTCAAAACATATTGAGAGGATTTTACTTAAGCTCTAAGTTACGATTTCAGGAGAAAGACAGAGGAGCTGTAACTCCGCATTCTATTTGTCAGGACTCTGACAAGCATCTGAAGCTCTGATAGTAATTAATAAAATGAAAATGTAGTGTTCTGTATCGGGGTGTTGTATTCTTCTTGTGGTTTCTTAACTTATGGAAGTTGTATCTTACACCAGTTGTGAAATGATAATTCTCACTAATGTTTTTGACATTCATTGCTGTCTTTTATGCTTATTATTCAGTATTGCATTCCATTCTGATTCTAAAGTGTTTGGTACCTTTTTATATCAATCAATATACTAAACCTGCCGACAAGTCTCAATGCACAAATTCAACTACAGTTTGGTAATACCCAAAACTAGCCAATCCAAGAGAAATAAAATTCACTACTGAATACTTGCAATGTTTACCAAATGATTAACCAATTTCTTCGCATGCACAAATAAAAAAAAAGTTTGAGCCATGATATCATTTCATTTTCAGGAAGTCCGAACAACTTGCATTCATTCAATTGTAAGATGTTATACTTTTGTAAAAGAAAAATGGTTAGGCTACACACATAAAGCATAGCTAGAGCACAAGTTAAAATATTGTGATTGTTGTTGTAAGAGAACTGGTACACTATTGGATTATGTGAAGTAAAAGCCTTACTTCTAGGGATTAACTTACGCACTGAAAAATTCATCATATTCTGAAATGGAAATAAAAAGATATTTTGTAAATAATAAAAAGCTGCAGAGAAAAATCACATGTATTATATTTGAAGTCAAGCAAAACTGTCAAACACAGTTTAATAGGGCTCACTTCATACCAGAGCATAAAGTAGAAATTAAGGTCCATTTTCTTTTCTCCTAATTAATCCAATTTTTTCTATATTTCATCCACGCAAAAGTAGAGAAAGGCACGAGCTCTTTGAAATTGTTAGTACTAAAATGCAAAACCTTGTCTTACTTGTGTCCCATATTCAAAAGAGAAAAAAACAACAGTGTATTTATAACTATACTCACAATGGTGGTGGATTGCTGAGTTGAGTCACTTCAGCTTGTGACCCAAGTGGGAGCCCTAATTTGATGGAACAGCACTGTGCCTTCCTAGGCTGGGTTTGTGGTTGGAACACGTTAGCTTGTCCACTCCAAGTAGGGAGTTGAGTCTGGAGACCTTAGTGAAGACTTAGGTATCTTGTCTTAGAGTGGAGGGCACAGCGTGAGGCTGGTTTCACAGAGCAGCCTCTCCCAACGGTGGAGGGATTGCAAGCTACTTCTTCCACAACCCCAAATGGTCGGGTGAGCCTAGCCTGCCTGGACCGTCACTTTTTTAAAAGTTTTAAAGTAAAAAACCAAATGTACTGATATTTATATTCGAATTTTACTTTTGATAGTATTTGTAAAGTGAAAAGTATATTCTTGATTCAATACTTAAATGATATAGGAATTTATAAATTCTATTTTATTTATTTAAATATCTAATAAATAAAAAAGAATTGAAATATTTTTGGTTACGTGTTTCATAATTCTATCATTGGTTTTTGGACTTTCATATCTTAGACATCAATCTTCTGCACTGATATATATATATATATATATATATATATATATATATATAAAGTATGTTATTGATTTAAATTTTTAAATGACATAGTAATTTATATTTTATTTATATTAATATCTAATAAATAAAAAAGAATTGAAATATCATATTGTTTGTGTGCAGCATAACTTTTATCTATTGGTTTTTGCACTTATCTTATACTGAAATTTAATTTATATTCGGAAGAATGTGCCCATCGGACAGCTAGGATTGAAGTCATGAATACTTAGTCAAGGTATTTATAGGATAGAAGGGGAAGTAGTGTAAATCACAAAGGAATTCAGATACAAAAGTGACGCAAACTGAAATCTGAAAAGCACTGCCGATTCATCTGCATAACTGTTGAATACCCTACTCTCATTCTGAAATTCATCTAAACATATCTTCACAATCAATTCATGTTGAATTTTTTGCTCCTTCAGATAACTATTCTCTTGCACATGTAAAACCTCTTCAAATCAACTTGAATTCTATCTCGATCCAATTTTTAAAAATTATAATCTTCATCTGTACTTCCCTCATACTATTCTTAATATCGAAAGCTTCACGTCTTTATGAAATCCATAGATTTCTCCAGACGCAAGTTAGTGCTTCTAGTCTACTGAAAAATGTCACAATTATCAGGATAATGTGACTAAACTACATTTGTTATTTGAAACATTAAAGCACAACAGTGCAGTTTAATTACATTAATCATGATAATTAAGAATTTTTCACCAAATGTAGAATACTAACTTATGTCTGAACTTTCTATTGTTTCAAGGTGCATATGCATACCTGGAGGCTTATCGGCAAAATAATAACTGAATGCTTTAATTTTGTGGCACTCCTAGCGACTTCAGATTTAAACAGATGCAGCATTTTGTCCTCTTCATTTCTTATACACGTCGCTTGTCACTCCATTGTCTTGGAGTTCCATGAAGGATAAAACAAGTTCAGGAGCTTCTTGCATGAGTCTCTCAAACACATCATTGTTAGTTAGGTAGGCCCCAACAGTGTTCAGACCAAAATCATCACACAATGAATATCGCTGATGCTGCTCAGTAAGTCTTGTGTCATTTTAGGTGCGTCATAAAAATTCTCAAATCCCACATCAGGTAAATCGGCATTAGAACCAATATCTGAGAATCCAAGTTCGGTAACTATCTGGTTAAGACAATTCCACCTTTGCTAAATACAAGGATGAATGTCTTGGGCTCACAGAAAGAACACGAAGAAGTGCAGCCAGACTTTGAATCCACTTGTATTCATAAAATGACTTTTTTTGCCTGCATTACAGGAAATTTAAAACATGGAGAGCATTCAGTGCAAGACATAAACAGTGACTGTTTCTAGTTTAACTATTACCAACACATAAGTGATATCTCCAGTCATGTAGCATATTGGTGTCATGCTTTTTATATAGGAAACTTGATTAGGATATGTAATACATTTGCTAAACATTTTGGTTGGCCTCATATGGTAGTAAGGTTAAATGATGAGAATAACTACTACGGTCAAGATGGAAATTTTAGTTGCAAGCAGTTGGCATGCCTCCCTGGCATTTAAGATAAGAAAAAAATCATATTTCTTCAAGGCAATTAGATAAGAGCGACACCGTTGATGCAGATGTGGGGAAACCAATAAGATGTTATGACTTTGGCTCTCCGCATTGATTCAAGGACAGTATGAAGTCCTTAGAGACAGCAAAATAAAAATGGAAGCCTTAATAACCCAAGCATTGATGGAAGAACCAAATTTGGACACAACAATTTCAGACAGTTTCTGTACATTTGATAGCCTTTCAATCACGGGGTTACTAGTCCCTTCAAATCTGTCACCACAGAAAGTAAATCATATACATGCTCGAAAATATCAATGAGACAGGGAATTCTGAATTTGTTCTTGCAACCACGTTAAAATGTTCTATATTACATTTTCCAGAATAGTGTAAAACTTCATACATAAATCTGTCAGTTCACAAAATTTCAGGTAAAGATGCCAGAAAAAAATGTTTATCTTTTATTACATTCAATGAATAAAAAAAAATATGATTAACTGACTTCTACTCATGCACACATAAAAAGCATTATTATACCATAATAGGCTTCCATCATCAGTAAGCCCATTGCTAAAGGAAACTCAAATAAGTTGCATTCATTATATTGCATGATTTTCTACTGTTGTAAAAACATAATGAAGTTAAATCATGAATAAGACTGATATATAATAAGCAACTCAATTGTTGTCTCTAGAAGAAATGTAGTTCCAGTTTAAGGAGTTAACTTACATTGTTTTGGATTCTGGAGAAAGGTAGAGTGATGCACCAATCCTATGGAATGTCCTGCTGTCAGGGTGAAGTGGGACTCTCAGAACTCCACTCCAACCTTCCATTTATTAGTCTACATAATATTTGGCATCATGTTAGATGTCAAACAACTTGCATTCATTCCATTGCATGATTTTCTGTTTTTGTCAAAAGAAAAAATATATTACCAAAGCTTAAAAACAAAAAGACTATGGAAGTTATAATACCAAAATGGATCCAATTGTGGATGAAATGAAAGTTGTACTGTTCCTTGAAGGTGATAGGCATCAAATAAAGAGAGCCTGATAAAACTTTATCTCACAATGTGAAAATAAATTTTAGCGTGCTTGCATATTTCATGAAAAACAAGATTAGCAGCTAAGTACTTAGCTGACTCACAAAACAGTTCGAATGGAAATGGTTTATATGTTTTTTTATCCCCATTGATGAGTAGCTGCAGAGAGAATAAGTTTTGTAACCCTTGTATTGCACTTCAACAAGAGCTTGGTGCATCCCACTAACAAAGTTTAAATATGTAGATTTATTCTTATTTGCTTACATTATTTTATTTAATTCAATAAGAAAGGTTTATATTTATAAGTGGATTCATCGTTATTTGCTTACACTATTTATTAACATAAAAATTATTTAAGTTTGTAAGACTGTGTTACCAAATTTATCTGGGGTACACCAGTTTCCCAAAGAAGTTCAAACAACTTGCATTCATTCCATTGCATGATTTTCTATTTCTGTCAAAAGAAATCTAAACTGCATATGTACTAAAGCTAAAACACAAAAAACAGTACAAAAATGGATCTGATTGCGGATGAAGTACTAAAACACAAAAAAACAGCACAAAAATGGATCAGATTGTGGATGAAATAGAAGTACTCTTCCAAAACAGATATAATAAAAAACAGTACAATGGATGAAGTAAAAGTACTTTTCCGAAACAGTTATAATAAAAAACAGTAGAAAAATGGATCAGATTGTGAATGAAGTAAAAGTACTGTTCCAAACTAAACGCTTGTATTATTCAAAACATACATTCCTCGACTTTAGTATATATTCTTATCAATTTAATGGCCAATTGGTTGGCATGATATTAAATTAATATTTTAGGGGAAAGGGTTCATCATAATAGCCTGTGATTGGGGCTTTCAAGCGTCGCCTTTGCATTGGACCACTGTTAGGGCCTGGTGCATCCCATCTAAATCAGTTCAATATTTTGTAATAAAATGAAACAATATTTTTCTGTAGTGTAGTGCTGTATTTGTTTTGTTTGTTCTTTTAACTTTGCTCTTAGAGGTTTAGCTTGTTATTTATTATAAAGTTTTTCTTGCAATTGTTGGGAAATGATAAATTTGATTCTAAAGTGTTCGATACCTTATTACATCAATCAATATAGTAAACCTTCGGATAAGATTCAATTTACAAATTCAACTACGGATTGATAATACCAAAAACTAGCTAATTCATAAGAAGTATATGATCATCACTGAACACGAATCATTTGTAGCAAATGATTAAGCGATTTCTTCACATGCACAAATAAAAAAGTTTAAGCCCTGATATCATTTCATTTTCAGGAAGTCCAAACAATTGCATTCTCTCAATCGTAATATGTTCGACTTTTTGCAATAGGCTCACTTCTCTGTGTTTTTGCATCCACATGTAGAAATACAAGCATCTAACTTACTTTGAAAAGGTATTAACTTACGCACAGAAAAATTCATCATATTCTGAAATGACAATAAAAAAATATTTATCACATGTATTATATTTTTAATTCAAGCAAAACTGTCCAACACAGAGTTAACAGGCTCACTCCTCTGTGTTTTTGCATACATATGTAGAAATACAAGCATCTATCCACTTCATACCAGAGCATAAAGTAGAAATTAAAGTCCATTTTCTTTTCTCCTAATTAATCCAATTTTTTCTATATTTCATCCACGCAAAAGTAGAGAAAGGCACGATCTCTCTGAAATTGCTAGTACTAAAATGCAAACCTGGTCTTACTTGTGTCCCATATTCAAAAGAGAAAGAAACAACAATGTGTTTATAACCATACTCACAGTGGTGGTAGATCGCTGAGCTGAGTCACTTCAGCTTGTGACCCAAGTGGGAGCCCTAATTTGATGGAACAGCACTGAGCCTTCCTAGGCTGGGTTTGTGGTTGGAACATGTTAGCTTGTCCACTCCAAGTTGAGAGTTGAGTCTGGAGACCTTAGTGAAGACTTTGCTCTCTTGTCTCTTAGAGTGGAGGGCACAGCGTGAGGCTGGTTTCACAGAGCAGCGACCACCTCCCTCTCCCAACGGTGGAGGGATTGCAGGCTACTTTCTCCACAACCCCAAATGGTCGGGTGAGCCTAGCCTGCCTGGACCGTCACATTTTTTTTACTTTTTTAAGGAAAAAAACAACTGCACTCGTATTTATATTTGAATTTTACTTTTGCACAATTTTTAAATGATATAAAAAAATTTATAAATTCCATCTTATTTATACTAATGTATAATAAAAAGAAAAAGAATTAAAATAGTATTGTTTGCGTATTATTAGTGGATGTATATAATATTATTATAATTTATAAAAAAAATTAAAAAAATAAATCTTTATTTACAAAACACGAATCAATAGTTGAGATGACTTATAATAATGTCTAATAAATAAAAAATATTAAAATATTATTATTTACGTTAGTTTTATTATAGGTATTTAGACTTACATCCCTTAGACTCTAGTCTCTTTAAAATAAATTATGAATAATTAAAGTTATAATTAGTCTATGTATAGAATATAATGATAATTTAGAAAATAAAATTTGAAGAAATAATGTATCTTTATTTACCTAGATGAATCAATGGATTAATTTTACTGTGATTTAAATAATATCTTTTATGAATAAATAAGGTTTAATTCCCCTTATTTTACTCTTAGAAAAAAAACAACACATGGACAAGACTAATTATAAATCTAGGAATGTTGTTTTCAAATCTTTTATGGAATTAGAAAATGAGTTGTCTTTAAAAGACATAGATTAAGAGAAATTAAAGTTATAATTAGTATAAAAAAAATTGAAAAAATCAGTGCACTTTTACTTACGAAACACAAATTAATAAATTGAGTTTAATGTGATTTATATCCTCATTTTTCTAATAAAAAAATTGGGTTTATTTTTTCGTCTATTAGTTAAGTTTCAATGAAAGAAAATAATAAGGCAAAAATCATCCTTAATTAATCTTAAATCTATACATATTCTCTCCAAATATTCTAGAAAATGAGAAAGTGGGTTATCTTTAAAAATAATATATATATATATATATATATATATATATATATTAGCTAATTACTTTCTTAAAATAAATTTTAAAATTATTTTTTATTATTATTATTATTATTAATATGTGAGTAATTAAATAATATAATTAATAGTCTTAACTAGTTTAACGATTTGGTGGTGTCACAAAGAACTTACACATATTACATGTCACATTTGATTTTAACAACCAAATATTTTTTATTAAACTTATTAATTTTTTTTTATTACACCATCAAATATTATTAACTCTTTTACTAGAGGTAATGTGCATGACTTATTAAACTGTTTTTATTCACCATCAAATATTATTAACTTTTTTATTGTAATTTTGCGGACTACTTCTTATAAAAATACTTTGAGACGATTAATAAATATTAAAATTTCATTTATAAGTTGTGTTGTTACACTACTCATTTGTTTTGCAATCATTGAATATCATTAAGTTGATTAAATTATGAGACAATTTGACCTTCACCAACACATTCCTCAAGATCTAACGAATCTAGATCAAATGCATGATGAAGATATGAGAAGAATAACAGATAGATATTAACCAAATTATCATTGTAACTAGATTGCAATATGAAACGATCATCATAACCGCTTAGTCCAAGGGATCAAATTTTAGAGAAACGGTCAATTAAGCAATATATGCAGTGCTATTTACAACATAATATACAATATATTTTTCCTGAACAATCACCCGATACACATGATGAAGTAAGTATAGCATATTAAATATATAATTATATTTTTATTAATACTAATTTTACATGTATTTTATTTTTTCAATATAGTGCACCACAACAACATTAAAACACAATAACACGACGAACAACTTTTTGAACAATTCACATCACAATCCACACATCTACATGTTGGGTCATCTACCTTTCAACCACCTTCACTCTACGGATATATGTGTCAACTTAATAATATATCGAGTCAATTTCGGTTAGGATAAGTCCCTTATATAATGTGTTTCCATCTTCATTAAATATGTTTGTCACCATCTCAATGACATCACCATCAATATATAAGCACACCCCTTACATGGATTGTTATTGCCAACTTTATCTACACAAACATCATATAATGATAATAATAATAATAAATAGACATTCCATCACCAAAACAAGTACCCATCAAAGAGAGAGACCAAAAGACAATATTAAAAGACCACATTGTAAAACAAGTTCTCATCATTAATTTTTAAATGTACATTTTCTACATTTTTAAAATTTTAATATATGTTGTACATTTTTTTAATGTGTATTTAACCTCTTTTTACTTAACATATTAATATTTTCTTTTTAATAATTTAATATATTTAAAAATTATTTAACATTACTAGCTTAAAAACCTATAATCATTTATTTTTTTAATTTTATAAATGTTCCAAGTACACTCAAGAGTCTCACTTCAGCTTACGAATCAAGGTCAAGGGTAGTATATATATATATATGTATATATATATATATATATATATATATATATATGTATATATATATATATATATATATATATATATATATATATATATATATATATATATATCTTCCTCTCTTAATTCATTGAGACGCTTATTAAGGACAAAATTTTGACGGACGAGAGTTTCAAAGCGAACAATACCCCAGATATTGTAATTGATCCTAATGATGTTATCATAGCATACCACAACTTTTTTATTATGAAGTTGTATCTCAAAATACAACTTACCCATATCGAAATTTTTTAAAAAGTTTACCAATTTCAAAAATAACTCGATCCTTCGTGAAGTGACATTTTTTATTGCAGAAGTAACACTTCTTTTCCTTATAGATTTTACCTTCATCTTTGGGTCTTACCTATTTCAAAAATAACTCGATCCTTCTTGAAGTGACACTTCTTTTCCTTATAGATTTTACCTTCATTTTTGGGCATTGCCCTTATCCTTTCTACCTAACTTACTCTTACTGCCATTGACTCCATCATGAGTCATGAGGTGAACAAAATCGTCCTTCATTTTCCTTAAAATCCCTTCCTCCTGAACTAACATAGTCTTAACTTCCTAAAAGTTTCATTTTTCTTTAAGGGTGGAACTGATCAAATTTTGCAAGAAGGGAGTTCAAAATGAGCTGCAATAAGAATGACTCACTCACTTCCATTCTCATATACTTCCACCTTGCTGCTAGATTACAGATTTCAGTCACATGATCATGTATTGATTGAGACCAATCAAACCTTTTTTATTAATACCAAGTTGTGAAAATTTTCTCATTATATTATTTAATGTAATATCCTAACTTTCACTTCCAACTACAATAAAGAATTCTTATATAAATAAATATTTATACTATTTTAATCGATTTAGATGAAGATAAGATACGAAAGATGTTCAATAAAAAAAATTATATAATGTTTTCTATATTGATTGTATGTAAAATCTGACATAGTAAATAAAACTTAATAATTTATTCATTATTTAAAGATCACACTTTTATATCATTGGTAAAACTGATAATAATTTTAAAATACTAATTTTATTTGTATTTTGTTTGTTCAAATGTACCACAACAACATCAAAGATAATAACACGACCAACAAAATTTTTAACAATTCACATCATAATCCACGTATCTACATGTTGGGTTATTTACTTTTCAACCACCTTCACTTTACGGATATATGAGTCAACTCCATAATATATCAGGTCAATTTAAGTTTGGACAAGTCCCTTACATATATTGTGTTTCCAATTTCATCAAATATGTTTGTCACCATCTCAATGAGATCATCATCACTATATAATCATGCACCTTGCATGAATTGTTATTGTCAACTTTATCTACACAAATTCATATAATGATGAAAATGAAGATAATAATAATAATAATAATAATAATAATAATAATAATAATAATAATAATAATAATAATAATAATAATAAATGGAGAGATGAAGCTTCCATATCCGTTTTTCTTAGAACATCATAAATGGGACTAGTGAAAGAAAGTATATAATCAACCTTATCCCACCAAACATCATCCAATAATGTATCTTTCACCAATTTAGCTTTTCCAACATCATCTTCCTTATAAGAAGAACATTCATCACTAATAACCATCTCTTGGAGTTCTTTTTTCAATTGCTTAAATCTCTTAAGCATGACTATAATAGAAGCAAATCTTGTTGGAGCAATGAGTTGAATGAGTTGAAAATAAATAATCTCATTGAGTGATCCATGATAAAAAAATTTTATGAACATAGCATATTCTCCTATATTTGTGATCCAAGAACATTCTTGATAAGCAATATTGTGTTTTTCTGTGTTCTTTGCTGCACATATATTTTTCAAAACAAGATTTAGAGTGTGCACAACACAAGGGGTCCAATAAATACAAGGAAAATCAGCTTCAATCATTAAACCTGCGGCCTTACATACAGGTGCATTATCAGTCACAATTTGCACCATATTTGAAGGTCCAACTTCCATAATTACATCTCTCATTTGTTTGGCTATAAAATTTTTGTCTTTAATCTCATTAGTGCATTCTATAGCCTTCAAAAACATAGGTTCACTCTTTATAACAACCATGAATTAATGAGAGGTCTTCTTTGGGGATCACTCCACCCATCACTAACAATGCTAACACCTTTTTTACTCCATGTATTTTTTATTGGCTCCAAAAGCTTCTCTACATGTCTTCTTTCATTAGCAAGCAAAATTGTTCTCAACTTATTATAACCTGGTGGTTGATATCACTTACATAATTATTAGCAGCAAAAGAAAAAGCTCTCCTACAATAAGGATTTCTTGCTAAATGAAATGGCAATCCCGATGAGTAAAACATCCTGGCAATTTCATAATCTAATGTCTCTCTAGCTTGCATATTGAAAGTTTTATCTAGTGATCCAGATGTTTTTCTTTTTTTGAGATCAACACCATCCATAGATGATTCATTAGAAACCGAAGGCAAATAGACAAATTTTGCCTTAAACCTTTCTATCTTCAATGTAGATTCATTGTCTAGCTTTGTTAGTTCACCAAGCTTCAAGGGTGTGATTTTTTGACAACCTCTAACTCCCTTTCCCGTAATCTTCAACAAATGTGCTCTCACTCTAGTATAAGATTCATTGAAAGTAAGGTTACAAATATTGCATTTTACTTCATAATTTCCACCACCTCCACCAACACTTCTTATCTTTGTAACATAATTCCATAGGGGTTTGATATCATCATCTTATAAAGGCTTACTAGAATTACACATTTCTACAAAAATAAAACCAATAACATATGATTTTTCTAAATTCATAATTCCATAACTATCGCATTCTAATAAAAAAATGAAACATTATAAAGGAAAACAGAGCAAAGCAAAGACTTAAACAGTGGACAACAAAAGAGAGCATGACACAGCGGAATACCTGAACAATAATAAAGGCCTGAACGCCAGAGAGAAAAATAGAGCAAAATGAACAACAAAACTTCAATTAACAGCGGAAGAAAACAAAGCAATGCCCACTTTTGAATTTCGGATCGCTTCCAGCGGTTACTCTCTACCACTTTCTCTTTCACAAACCCTATATTCCTCCCTCGCTGTAAATGGGTTAGAATCTCATCTTCTGACTCTTCATTTGTTTCCCTGCCAACATTGCCCTTCTCGCCTCCACTTTTTACCAGGTTTTGATCCTATCTGATTTGGAATATGATTACGTCAACCCATTTGACGCTTCATCTAGGATTAACTACTTCGTTGTTCCGGAGTTCATTGGGCAAGGAGTGTTATGTGCTTTGTGCTCTCGAATTAACTACACAGTAACACGTAGCAGAAAAAAGTAACTGGAAGCAAAAAAGGAAAGCTTTTTTGGATGAAAGGAAAGCTTTGGTGCAGAAATGGAAACGTGCAGAGGAAGGAAGGAAAATAGGAGAAAAAAGAACGTAAATGGAAAAAATTCAAATTTTTTTTTTATAAAAACTATACCCGAGTCGGAGTCGTGTCGACACTGTGTCGGATCTGGGTCACGCCGTGTCCACCATGACTCGAAGCCCCCGCGACGTGTTTTTGGTCTAGGGGACACTGCAAAAAGGAGTCGAACATGCATCCTCAACGTGTCGTGGCGGTGTCGGTGTCGGACTCGCGTGAGACGCTTCAACACGGATGAGGTGAGTCGTGTTGATGCTTCACAACTCTGAACAAATCAAAGGATAAAAAACACCTCCTTTGCCACCAACACACAAAGGATGAATACCTCCCTAGAATTACACTAGGGATGAACACTTCCCCGAACAAATCAAAGGGATGAAAACACCTCCCTTGAACAAATAAAGGGATGAACAACAACCACTTAAACCCTAAAAAGGGATTCAACAGCAACCATTTAGACCCTAAACAGGAAATTTAACGACAACTTTCTAAACCCTAAAAAGGGGAAGGTAATAAAATAAGAACAGTCACACCTGTGTAATGGAGACAACAAATTGTAGAAGCATGTAAAATGCCAACCTCCAAGAACAAGTGTGATTAACAATGAAAGTGCAGAAGGCAGTAGAGAAGAGGGTTTTCTCAGAAGGTGTAAAATATCTCTGTTGTCTTGCTCAAAATTCTTTCCTTAAAACTGAATGAATGTAAAATTGTATTTTCGAATTTTGTAATTGTGTATTTTTTTATTTTTCATCAAAACTCATTTAAATAGGAAAATAACATCAGAAAATAGTCGTTGGTCATTAATAATTTCGTAAAGAAAAATCATTATGTATCCAAAAACATTAATTATTCAAAAATGAATTTATTTTTCAAATTTGAACTGCCATAATTGATTATGTTACCAGTATA